TCCCCAAGACGCGCCCAGCAGGGAATCCGGCACCTCGTAAATGACTCCATCTAAGGAACCGCTCAACCTAGATGGATCCTTTATGCAAATTTAATCTGTCGCCATCCACACCAACATTGTCTCTTTTAGTTGGTGCTTCCTCCTTCTCCCTCCTTCTCCCTCCCTCCCTCCTTCTCCCTCCCTCCCTCCTTCTCCCTCCCTCCTTCCCTCCCCCTCCCTCACATCCCTCACATCGGGTTGAAGGGGGGAGGGAGGGGGAGTATGTGTGTGTGTGTGTTTTTTCTCTCTCTCTCTCTCACTGGTAGGAAGAGGGGAATGAGCAAGGGGCGGGGGAGCGATAGGGGCGGCAGGGGCAGCAGGGGGCAGGGGGGGCAGCAGGGCAGGGGGCGGCAGGGGCGAAAGGGCAGCAGTATGTTGGAGTACAGTACTTATCTGTGTTATCTATTATCTTCCTTGTCTCTTAAATGTCACTGCCGGTTAGAGTTGGAGGTTAGGATTAGGTTAGGATTAGGTTAGGTTAGGATTAGGTTAAGTTAGGTTGGAGTTAGGTTAGGTTGGAGTTGAGTTGGGTTAGGTTAGGTTAGGTTAGGTTAGGTTAGGTTAGGATTGGGTTGGGTTAGGTTAGGTTAGGTTAGGTTAGGTTAGGTTAGGTTAGGTTAGGTTAGGTTAGGTTAGGTTAGGTTAGGTTAGGTTAAGTTAGGTTAGGTTAGGTTAGGTTAGGTTAGGTTAGGTTAGGTTAAGTCTCCATGGGTCAGTTGAGAGTTTGGAGAGTCTTCCTACCTGTACACATACAAGGTGAAAGAGCTCAGGGTCTAACCAATGAATATACAGTATATAACCAATTAATTATCTATCTGTCTATGTATCTATCTATCTATCTATCTATCTATCTATCTATCTATCTATCTATAAATTTGTACTAATCTTCACGTTAAAAAGAAAACAAAATGGGAAGGGGAAGGTAACTTTCGTAAATTGGATCCACATTGACACTGAAACTGACACTAAAATAAATAGTATCCATTGTTTTGTGGTTTCCTGTGCCGCTCGGAGTGAGTGAGTGAGGCGGTATGTCTGTTTGTCATATTGCAGCACCGTCCGAGTCACTGTGCAATAATGCATGCACGATAGAATTCTCCCTGCAATACGATGGCTAGATGTATTGCAAGGTGTGTTTACAAGCGCGTCTGGCAGATCTCCATGTTCAATATACTTCGGTATTGTTGTGGGTCTTTGGCAAACTTTACTTGGCGTTTTATTGCAGTGAGCCAACCAGTTATACCAGTCAGTCGGTCCAGCCAGTCAAATAGTCGGTCATCCAGTCAGTCAGTCGGTCATCCAGTCAGATAGTCGGTCATCCAGTCAGTCAGTCAGTCGGTCATCCAGTCAGATAGTCGGTCATCCAGTCAGATAGTCGGTCATCCAGTCAGATAGTCGGTCATCCAGTCAGATAGTCGGTCATCCAGTCAGATAGTCGGTCATTCAGTCAGTCAGTCGGTCATCCAGTCAGTCAGTCGGTCATCCAGTCAGTTATAGTGTCTCCAGGAGTAGTAAGTAGTATTAAGAGCAACACGTCTCTGCACCGCCCCTGTAATCAAGCGGTCAGGTAGTGGCTCTCTCTTAATGCTGTTTGCTCGTCGAGAGACCTCAAACGGCAGTGCGGAGGAGGAGGAAGAGTCGAGGAGGGAGAGAAGGAGGAGGAGGAAGAAGAAGAAGAAGACCTGTTTGATGTGTGAGGAAGAAGAGAGGAACTAGAAAGGTAATAAGGAGCGGGAGATGAGGAGGGGAACGAAGAGACGGAAGAAGAAGAAGAAGAGTGTTGGAGAAGAGGAGGGGAGTAAGAAGAGGAACGATGAGAGGGAAGGCGAGAAGAGCGATAAGAGAGGGTGGTACAGTTTAGAGTAATTGAAGTAGTCTGTAGTTTAATGAGGAAGGCTTTGGATATTACACTATGATTCTGGGACATGGTAAGGCTCTGTGACATGCTAAGACTCTGTGACATGTTAAGACACTGTGACATGGTAAGACTCTGTGACATGGTAAGACTCTGGGACATGGTAAGGCTCTGTGACATGCTAAGACTCTGAGACATGGTAAGGCTCTGTGACATGGTAAGGCTCTGGGACATGGTAAGACTCTGTGACATGCTAAGACTCTGAGACATGGTAAGACTGTGACATACTAAGACTCTGTGACATGGTAAGACAACTGTGACATGTTAAGGCTCTGGGACATGAAATGCAAAGACTCTGTGACATGGAAAAGACTCTGTGACATGGTAAGACTCTGAGACATGGTAAGACTCTGTGACATGCTAAGACTGAGACATGGAGGCTCTGAGACATGGTAAGACACTGGGACATGGTAAGACTCTGGGACATGGTAAGACTCTGTGACATGGTAAGACTCTGTGACATGGTAAGACTCTGGGACATGGTAAGACTCTGGGACATGGTAAGACTCTGAGACATGGTAAGACACTGGGACATAGGTAAGACTCTGGGACATGGTAAGACACTGTGACATGGTAAGACTCTGGAGACAGACTCTGGGGACATGGAAGACTCTGGGACATGGTAAGACTCTGAGACATGGTAAGACACTGGGACATGGGTAAGACTCTATGACATGGTAAGACTCTCAGAGACATGGTAAGACTCTGGGACATGGTAAAAAGACTCTGTGACATGGTAGAACACTGTGACATGGTAAGACTCTGAGACATAGGTAAAGACTCTGTGACATGGTAAGACTCTGTGACATGGTAAGACTCTGTGACATGAGTAAGACTCTGGGACATGGTAAGACTCTGGGACATTAAGACTCTGGGACATGGTAAGACTCTGGGACATGGTAAGACTCTGGGACAGCTGGTAAGACCTGGGACATGCTGTAAGACACTGTGACATGGTAAGACTCTGAGACATGGTAAGACTCTGGGACATGTTAAAGACACTGGACATGGGAAAGGAACTCTGGGACATGCTAAGACTAGGACATGTTAAGACACTGGGACATGAAAGCCAAGACTCTGGGACATGGTAAGACTCTGGGACATGGCCAAGACCTCTCTGGGACATGTTAAGACTCTGGGACATGGTAAGACTCTGGGACATGGTAAGACTCTGTGACATGAGAGGACATGGGACATTAAGACTCTGGGACATGGTAAGACTCTGGGACATGGTAAGACACTGTGACATGGTAAGACTCTGAGACATCATTAAGACTCTGGGACATGGTAAGACTCTGGGACATGGTAAGACACTGGGACATGGTAAGGCTCTGAGACATGGTAAGACACTGTGACATGAAATGCAGACTCTGGGACATGGAGGTAAGACTCTGGGTTAATGTTAAGACTCTGAGACATGGCCAAAGACTCTGTGACATGGTAAGACTCTGAGACATGGTAAGACACTGGGACATAGGTAAGGCTCTGAGACATGGTAAGACTCTGTGACTAAGACTCTGCTTGACATCACTGAAGAGCTCTGTGACATGCTAAGACTCTGGGACATGGTAAAGACTCTGTGACATGAGACTCTGGGACATGGTAAGACTCTGGGACTATTAAGACTCTGAGACATGGTAAGACTCTGTGACATGGTAAGACTCTGAGACATGGTAAGACACTGGGACATGGTAAAAGGCTCTGGAGACATGGTAAGACTCTGTGACATAGGAGCTTGTGACATGGTAAGACACTGGGACATGGGTAAGGCTCTGTGACATGCTAAGACTCTGTGACATGAACTCTAAAGACTGAGACATGAGGCTCTGAGGCATAAGTAGGCTCTGAGACATGGTAAGACACTGGGACATGGTAAGGCTCTGAGACATGGTAAGACTCTGAGACATGGTAAGACACTGGGACATGGTAAGACTCTGGGACATGGTAAGACACTGGGACATGGTAAGGCTCTGTGACATGCTAAGACTCTGTGACATGTTAAGACTCTGTGACATGGTAAGGCTCTGAGGCATGGTAAGACACTGTGACATGGTAAGGCTCTGAGACATGGTAAGACTCTGGGACATGGTAAGACACTGGGACATGGTAAGACTCTGTGACATGGTAAGGCTCTGAGACATGGTAAGACACTGGGACATAGTAAGACACTGGGACATGGTAAGACTCTCTGTGACATAAGTAAGACTCTGGGACATGGTAAAAGACTCTGGGACATGTTAAGACACTGTGACATGGTAAGACTCCTGGGACATGGTAAGACTCTGGGACATGGTAAGACTCTGGGACATGTTAAGACTCTGAGACATGAGTAAGACTCTGTGACCGGGAAGCTCTGAGACATGGTAAGACCTGGGACATGGTAAGGCTCTGAGACATGTTAAGACTCTGAGACATGGTAAGACTCCACTGAGACATGGTAAGACTCTGGGACATGGTAAGACTCTGGGACATGGTAAGACTCTGAGACATGGTAAGACTCTGAGACATGGTAAGACACTGGGACATGGTAAGGCTCTGAGACATGGTAAGACACTGGGACATGGTAAGACACTGTGACATGGTAAGACACTGTGACATGGTAAGACACTGGGACATGGTAAGACACTGGGACATGGTAAGACTCTGGGACATGGTAAGGCTCTGAGACATGGTAAGGCTCTGAGACATGGTAAGACACTGTGACATGGTAAGGCTCTGAGACATGGAAAGACACTGGGACATGCTAAGACTCTGTGACATGTTAAGGCTCTGTGACATGGTAAGGCTCTGTGACATGCTAAGACTCTGTGACATGCTAAGACTCTGTGACATGGTAAGACACTGTGACATGGTAAGACTCTGGGACATGGTAAGACTCTGAGACATGGTAAGACTCTGTGACATGGTAAGACTCTGAGACATGGTAAGACTCTGGGACATGGTAAGACTCTGGGACATGGTAAGACTCTGGGACATGGTAAGACTCTGGGACATGTTAAGACACTGGGACATGGAAAGACTCTGGGACATGCTAAGACTCTGCGACATGGTAAGACACTGTGACATGGTAAGACTCTGGGACATGGTAAGACTCTGAGACATGGTAAGACTCTGAGACATGTTAAGACACTGTGACATGGTTAAGACTCTGAGACATAGTAAGAGTCTTGGAGAGAGAAATCTTTGAAAATAGTCTCGACATTAAAAAAAAATAAAAAAATGGAAGAAAATCATAACTGCAGCTAGAAGTTATAATGAAACAAGAATCTCTCTGTTGACGGGGAGATAAAAAGAGTTCTAATTAAGCAGAAACAAGAGACAGTGTGAGAGATATGATTGAGATAGAAAGGAGAACTGAGAACACTTCTATAGTAGAGAAAACAGCTCTTGTTATTAACCCCCCAAAAAGAGAATAATAAAGTTTATGAATACTATTAATTAACAACTGAGTCTTTAAAAGTAGTTAAATAATGACTAACTCCTTTGTATAACTCTTCACAAAACACAATAATAAAAGGTATTAAAAAAGTCCCTATACACCTACACCTTCTCTTAATTAGAGTAAATATTGTAAGTGGTCACAGTAAATGTTGGAATGTTTACTGTAAATACAACAAGGTAACTTAAAATGCAGGTATAACAAGGAACAACTATATTATTAATTATTACAAGCGCACAGGGATTTTTTTTTTCAACACCGTGTACAATGACCAGAATGATGGTATAATGGTTTCCTAATACACCCCCTTTAAATTGATCTGGGAATTAACAAAAAGGAGATATAAATTTATTCAATGGGTATTTAACTCAGTCTCTGATTTACATAATACACCACACACCAATAGTTTTTTTTCCGTTAATAAGTTACTCGACTATTTGTGTTGTCTTCGTGCGTTCTCTTAGTCAGGAGGAACCCTTTAGTCAGCAGGAACCCCCTAGTCAGCAGGTCACCACGTCACCTTTAGTCAGCAGGAACCCCCTAGTCAGCAGGTCTTCTATCGCCACGTCACCCTTAGTCAACTGGAACCCCTTAGTCAGGAGGAACCCTTTAGTCAGCAGGAACCCATTAGTCAGCAGGTCTTCTATCGCCACGTTACCCTTAGTCAGCTGGAACCCCTTAGTCAGGAAGAACCCCTTAGTCAGCAGGAGCCTCTTAGTCAGCAGGTCCTCTATCGCCACGTCACCCTTAGTCAGCTGGAACCCCTTAGTCAGGAGGAACCCCTTAGTCAGCAGGAGCCCCTTAGTCAGCAGAAACCCCTTACTCAGCAGACATTCTTTATCACCACGCCCCCCTTAGTCAGCAGGCCCCCTTATTCAGCAGGTCCTCTATCACCACATCCCCCTTACTTAGCAGGTCCTCTGTATCACCACGTCCCCCCAAGTCAGCAGGCCCCCTTATTCAGCAGGTACCTCGGCGTCAATAAACTAGGGCGGGCAGAGTCCAGGCGCCGCCACACTAACCTCATATATAATGTTCTTATTCAGTACATGTCTCCTTATTTACTCTCCTCCCCTCACCTCCCCTCCCTCACCCCCCCCCCTCTTCTCTCCCCTCTCTCAGCCTCTCCCCGGGGAGTCAGCCACAAGGACAATGTTCTTGTCTTAGCTTTCCTCACTTTGTTGTCTCTCCTTAATTTAGTTCCCTCCTCCTATTTACTACCCTTTCTCTCCTTCCCCTCACTTGGTTTTGTTTCCCCTCCTCCTCCTCCTCTCCCCTCACTTGGATTTCTCTCCCTTCCCTCACTTAGATTTCTCTCCCTCCCCTCACTTAGCATTCTCTCCCTTCCCTCACTTAGATTTCTCTCCCTCCCCTCACTTAGCATTCTCTCCCTTCCCTCACTTAGCTGTGTTCCTCCTCTCCCTAGTCCTTCTCCCTCCCCTCACTTGTTCCTCTCCATCCCCACAGTCGACCCTCTCATCTCCCCCAATTATCCCTCTCCTTCCCCTCACTCATCTCTCCCTCTCACTCGACCCTCTCCCTCCCTCACTTATCCCTCTCCTTCCCTTTGATTCTCATTCCTCCCCTCCTCCTCCTCCCCCTCCCCTCACCTGAAGTACCGTCATTGATCGCCTCAGACATACAGTTGTTAGTGAGGTAATACGTTAATCTCCCTCGGGACCTCTCACTCATCTCATCTTAAATCCTTCTCCAATACTCCTCCTCTGTTGTGAATATTCCTCTTAGTACAGCTTTTTTTTATTGACTAGAATTCCTATAAAAGTTACCAGTAGAAAAATTATCTTATCGTGGTATTATATGTAATTTCCTCTGTAGATATGTATGTATCTATATGAATATATGTGTGTATGGGTATGTATATGTATATGTACCAAGGATATACTCAGGGAAGGTAAAAAACAAATATAGATAGAGAAATATACCTATATAGCATTGATATATTCACTATGGTATACTAAAAATCTTGTATTTATTCAGGGAAAAATATGGATCAAAGGTTAATGTTACAAACGTTCACACAGGCACCTCCATACAGGGGGAGGGGGGTCACTTGGCACTCCATACAGGGGGTCACTTGGCACCTCCATACAGGGGGTCACTTACACCTCCATACAGGGGGGTCACTTGACACCTCCATACGGGGGGTCATTGGACACCTCCATACAGGGGGCCACTTGCACCTCCATACAGGGGGGCACATGGCACCTCCATACAGGGGGGCCACTTGACACTCCATACAGGGGGGGTCACTTGACACCTCCATACAGGGGGTCACTGGCACCTCCACAGGGGGTCACTTGGCACCTCCATACAGGGGTGGGGGGTCACTTGGCACCTCCATACAGGGGGGGGGTCACTTGGCACCTCCATACAGGGGGGGGTCACTGGCACCCATACAGGGGGGTCACGGCACCTCCATACAGGGGGGTCACGGCACCTCCATACAGGGGGGGCCACTTGGCACCTCCATACAGGGGGCTACTTACACCTCCACAGGGGGTCACGGCACCTCCATACAGGGGCCACGGCACCTCCATACAGGGGGGGCACGGTACCTCCATACAGGGGTCACTTGACACCTCCATACAGGGGTGGGGGTCACTTGGCACCTCCATACAGGGGAGGGGGTCACTTGGCACCTCCCATGAGCAGTGTCAAAGAGATGAAAACTACAGTGAATATTTTATAGTTTGAGTTAATAATTTCATATAGTAGGAATTTTAAAGTATTATTTCTGTCTCCGCGTCTCTTATTTCTACCTGGAGTTGGTTATAATTTTATCTTTGTCTGTCTCCAGTTAGATTTCTCTTGTCTGTCTGTCTGTCTTTCTGTCTGTCTGTCTGTCTGTCTGTCTGTCTGTCTGTCTTTCATTTATTCTGTCTTTGCGTCTGTGCTGCTACACATATTAAAGTTACCAAGACTTACTGTTAACCCATACTCAAATAAAGTCCTAAGTCTCAATTAAGACTTTCAAATACATAAACAACTAAGTGATCGCCTTTTTTTTTAATGAGGATTTTGACTACGTTTCTAAATGAATATCATATAAAAAAAACACTAATGATCGATATTGTCTAATTAAGTCAATTAGTTGCGTGGAAAAAAATATATCTTGCGAACCTCTGAGAATTTGAGTAATATTGAAGTTTATTGTCGTATAAAACTCCTCATAACTTTACGAGAGAACTTAATAACGGGAATTAAGGTTTAAACTTGTGGGGTTATAATGAAAAATTCCTCTCTTGGTTGACTACATACTTTTCCTTACAACTATTTCTCTTCCTATTCTTGTCTATCATCGTTTCTCTCTTATGTTACATCCTGTTTACATCCTGTTTACATCCTGTTTACATATCCTAAGTATCTATACACAGAATGATGCTTTAATATACAGTATATAAAAGAAGTTATTAATATATATATTTTTAATAGTTATAATAATCAATTTTAGGGGTTTTAAATTCTATAAGTTAATTTGATTTGATAACGTGTTCCTATTATATATTATCCTGTCCCATAATGACTCGAATTATGACGTCACGCCACTTTCTTAGCAATACAGTACTTTTCTCTCCCTAGCAATACTTTCCTCTCCCTAGCAATACTTTTTCTCCCAGCAATACTTTCCTCTTCCTAGCAATACTTTCCTCTCCCTAGCAATACTTTTCTCCCTAGCAATACTTTTCTCTCCCTAGCAATACTTTCCTCTCCTCCCCCTAGCAATACTTTCCTCTCCCTGACCTGTTCCTACACGTCAGGTCAAAGAGGTAAGTACTGTAGCTCTTTGCACCGCCCAGTCAATGTGTCACTTATGGAGAAAAGAATCAATTTCTCTGCGGCAAAATGGTCATATCTCCGTCGTGGACAGAGTGACAAGTTGTTTATACTCCATTGGTTGCCAGAGTAGCGGAGGTATGTAGCATGAATCATGGCCGCCATGTGTTGATCTTTACTCAACTCTCTACTCCCTGATACGGAGAGAGAGAGAGAGAGAGAGAGAGAGAGAGAGAGAGAGAGAGAGGAGAGATTGGCCCGGTCTTGAACTGCAAAAGGAGATGGTTTAGCGAGGTAAAACACAGGCCACTCTGCCTTATGACCCGCTGCCCCAACACACACACTTGACTACCCCCAAAACACACAGCTTACACACTTCCACTACACACACACTTGGCCGCCAAACAAATACACTTGACTCAAACAAACATTGCCGGCTGCCGCCACACAAACACACTTGGCCACCGCCACACAAACACACTTTGGCCACCGCCACACAAACGCACTTGCCGCCGCCGCACAAACACACTTGGCCACCACCACACAAACACACTTGGCCGCCGCCGCACAAACACACTTTGGCCGCAGCCACACACACATACACACTTGGCCACCTCACAAAGACACTTGGGTGCCACACAAAGACACTTGCCACACACACTTACATTTGGCCGCCGCCACACACACACACACACACACTTGTTGCCACACACACACACACACACTTTGGCCGCCGCCACACACACTTGACCGCCACCACACACACTTGGCCGCCACCTCACAACCTGAACAACTATAAAAATCGTAAAAAGGACGCCAAGTTTAACAAGAGAAGTTTGCCAGAGATGAGACGAATTTTAATATAAAGTCGATAAAAATGAATTGGAATTTTGAGAAGTTGAGAAAGATCAAGTTCAAATTAATGGGGGAAATATTCTTGTCCTAAATTCGAGCAGTATACCATTTAACCCTTTCTGTTTTACGTTATAAAATAGTTTCGTAACAGCTTAAAACCGTAAAAGAGTGCGGCGTATTTCCATTACCAATCTCACCTACGTTCTGTTAACACCAATGCTCTCTCTGTTTTGTTGACTGGAGTTGTTGCTTCACCAATAAACTCATCATAGACCTTTGGCTTTGCCTCTCTCCTTTATGAATAACATTTTAAGACATGGAACATATTCGTGCTTGTTGTCCGTATCGAGGAGGTAGGTATTGGTGTGACTGTATTTCTACTGTAATTACTTTGTTCCATCCATCCATCCATCCATCCATCCATCCATCCATCCAGCCAGCCAGCCAGCCAGCCAGCCATCCACCCAGCCAGCCAGCCAGCCAGTCATCCATCCATCCATCCAGCCATCCACCCAGCCAGCCATCCATCCAGCCAGCCAGCCAGCCAGCCAGCCAGAACTAATCACGACTGGCCAACATTGCGATTCATTGGCCAGAATTAGCGTCAAAAGTATGAATAGTTTGTAATAGGTCACGCGCTGGGCTGGACAAGGACTCAATCATCCGCCAGACATGAGCTGCCTCGACCCGGCTGTTAACACCACCTGAAAATGAAAGTTGTAAGAGTGGAAGCCTTATCTAGACACATGTGTGACTTCCTGGATAAGTTTGTGTGTGTGTGTGTGTGTGTGTGTGTGCGTGTGTGTGTGTGTGTGTGTGTGTGTGTGTGTGTGTGTGTGTGTGTGTGTGTGTGTGTGTGTGTGTGTGTGTGAATGGTGATCGTAAATTACGGTATTAGCTGTATGTTTTTTAGTAATTTGTTTATTTGTGTGTTTGTCTGCCTTTCACTTGTTTTTGTCTCCGTTTTTTTTTTGTTTTCTTGTTAATTTTCCGCTTCATTTAACTCCTTGGTGTTATTGTTCTGGTTACTCCCCGCCTTGTTCTATATGTCCCAGCGATCGAGATGTTACTTTGCCACTTAACTCGTCTTCATATTCATCAATTATCCAAACTCTGTCGTTCAGTTTAAGATTTCATTGAGTATAGAATTAAATATTTAAGGTCACTTGTAGTAAATTATCACCCCACCCTAGATTACTTCACCTGATGATTAAACACTAAACTAACCCAACGTAACGCAACCTAAATTAACCTAACCCTTCCTCCCTCCCAGGTAAAGCTAATTTGTATAATCAGGTGAAATAATATGGACAGGTGGATAAATTGGTCAGGTAATCCAATTCTTGTTTACTTAAATATTTCACTCACGAGATTTATTCACTTTTATTTCACTTTTCTCGGGGTTGAAATTGTTGAACGATAGTATGTCATAATATATCATGGACTCTGTTTCTTACTGGTGTCGAAATGTAAAGACAATTTTAGTTTTCGTTCCATTTCACACTTTCCCAAATCCATATATTATGATTATTATTTTTGCATTTTCATAAGGAGCGAATTTATGGGTGACCAATTAGACTAAAGAAGAAGATATGATGTAAAAGGCTAGATGAGTGATGTAGGAGGAGGAGGAGGTGAACGAAGAGGAGGTTAAGTTAGGTTGATTTATCATACGGAATAGAGGTTAACTTAGGTTGATTTAAGTTATATTTGGTAGATTGAGACGAAGTTTAGTGAGGTTAAGTTTGGTTAAGATGGGAGTAGGCCTAGGTTAAGTTGAAGTAAGATGGGAGTAGGCCTAGGTTAAGTTAGGTTAAGATGGGAGTAGGCCTAGGTTAAGTTAGGTTAAGATGGGAGTAGCAGGTTAAGTTAGGTTCGGTTAGATTATATTAATTAGCACAATTAATATTAGACTAGTTAGATTAAGTTAATATAAAATTAAAATAGGTCACGTTAACTTATATTAGATTAGGTAAATTTATTACTAGATTAATCTCCATCAATACTGACCATTAACTGAGTCTTATAAGCCATTTAAAGATACACAAAATATATAGAAAATCATGCATACATAACTTGGCGATTTCTCATTTACGTCTAAGTTTTGCACCGAGAACATTTCTGAACTGCTCAAAGGTTTCCCGGTAACTTTTTTCTATGTAAGTTTGCTGTCAGTTTACTAATAACCTGTCGGGAGTTCTTCTTGTAAATTTACCTGTTTAACATCTCCAGGTAGGAGGGGGGAGCGGAGGATGGACTCTAACGCCAGGAAGATGTTTGACACTAATGAATGAATTTGGGAAGACTAACGAACGTGGATTACTAGATGAGACAGGTGTACAGAAGTGAAGATTATTATTATTATTATTATTATTATTATTATTATTATTATTATTATTACTGTTTTTATGATCATTTCCCTGTATTTGTTGTTTATAAGGACGATAACCAAGAACGAGTGATCAAGAACAAGAAATAAACAATTAAATAAGTTCAAACCGAAGCTTACAAAGGAACACAGGGTCAGATAATTTAGAACAACAATAAGAAAATAATTTGACGCATCTAGAAATAAGTGAGTGTTATCATTGACCAAAGAGACAATAATGTGTTGTATTATGATAGTAAAAGAGAATTTATTAAAAGAGCATCAGATAGCAGGAGGAGCCTCTACCGTAATGCGTCATCCACAAAAATGAGTAAGTTGACAACATCACTTGCTGGATATCTGAACAACGTCATGTTTTTTATGGTGGGAACATCAGGTGGTGCATTGACAGACAGGTGAGGTGTGTGTGTGTGTGTGTGTGTGTGTGTGTGGTGTGTGTGTGGTGTGTGTGTGGTGTGTGTGTGGTGTGGTGTGTGTGTGTGTGGTGTGTGGTGTGTGTTGTTGTGTGTGTGGTGTGTTGTGTGTGTGGTTATTATTATTAGTTATTATTATTGGTTATTGTTGTAGTTATTATTATTATTATTAGTTATTATGATTATTATTATTATTATTATTATTGGTTATTATTATTATTATTGGTATTAGTTGATATTATTGTGGTTATTATTATTATTATTGAGTTATTATTATTATTATTAGTTATTATTGGTGTTATTATTATTATTGTGTGGTAGTTATTAGTTATTAGTGTGTTGGTAGTTATTATTATTATTGGTTATTGGTGGATTATTATTATTGGTTATTATTGATTGTATTATTATTATTATTAGTTATTATTATTAGTTATTATTATTATTATTATTTGTTATTATTATTAATATTATTATTATTATTATTATTATTGATTATTGTGATTATTATTATTATTGGTATTATTATTATTAGTTGTGTGTTGGTGTGTGTGTTATTGTTGTTAGGTTATTATTGGTTATTATTGGTGTGTGGTGTGTGGTGTGTGTGTGTGGTTGTGTGTGGTGTGTGTGTGTGGTTGTGTGTGGTGTGTGTGGTGTGTGGTTGTGTGTGTTGTGGTTGTTGTTGTGTGGTGTGTGGTGTGTGTGTGTTGTGTTGTGTGGTGTGGTGTGTGTGTGTGTTGGGTGTGTGTGTGTGTGTGTGTGTGTGTGGTTATTGGTTGTTGGTGTGGTTGTGTGTGTTTTGGTGTGGTGTGTGTGTGGTTGTTGTTGTGGTGTGTGTGGTGTGTGTGGTTTTGTGTGGTTGTTGGTGTTGTTGGTTATTGTTATTATTGTTGTGGTGTGTGTGGGTGTTGTTGTGTGTTGGTGTGTTGTTGTGGTGTGTGTGTGTGGTGTGGTGTGTGTGTGTGGTGTGTGTGTGGTTGTGTGGTTGTGTGTGTGGTTGTTTTGTGTGTTGTGTGTTGTTGTGTGGTTATTGTTATTGGTTGTGTTGATTGTGTGTGTGTGTGTGTGTGTGTGTGTGTGTGTGTGGTGTGTTATTGTGTGGTGTTGTTGTTATTGATTGTGTGGTGTGTGGTGTTGGTGTTGTGTTATTGTTGGTGTGTTGGTGTTTGTGGTTATTGTTTGTTGTTTGTGATTGTTGTGTGATTTTATTGATTGTTGTGGTGTTTATTGTTGTGGTTGTTGTGTGTTATTTGTGGTTGTTGTTGTGGTGTGTGTGTGGTTGTTGTTGTGGTGTGTTATTTTATTATTATTGTTGTTGGTTTGTGGTTTTTTGTTTTTTTTTTATTAGTTATTGATGTGTAGTTGGTGTTGTTGTTGTATGTGTGGTTGTTGTTGTGTGTGTGTGTGTGTGTGTTATTGTTGGTGGTTGTGTGTGTGTTGTGTGTGTGGTTGTGTGGTGGTGTGTGGTTATTGTTTTGTGTGGTTTGGGGTGTGTGTGGTGTGTGTGGTTGTGTGTTGGTGTTATTATTGTGGTTGTGTTATTGTGTGTGTTGTTATTGTTGTTGGTTATTGTTATTGTTATTGTTGTTATTGTGTTAGTGTTGTGTTATTGTGGTGTGTGTGGTGTGTGTGGTTATTATTAGTTGTTGTGTGGTGTGATGGTTATTGTTATTATTGGTTGTTGTTGTGTGATTGTGTGTTTTTGGTGTGTGGTTGTTAGGTTTTTGGTTGTGTGTTATTGTTTTTGGTTTGTGTGTGTGTGTGTGTGTGGTTGTGTGTGTGTGTGTGTGGTGTGGTGTGGTGTGTGTGTGTGTGTGTTGTTGTGTGTGGTGTGTTGTTGTTGTGTGTGGTTGTTGTTGTGGTGTTATTATTGTGGTGTTATTATTGATTGGTGTTATTGGATTGTGTGTTATTGTTATTGAGTTATTATTAGTTATTATTGTTGTGTGATTATTATTATTATTATTAGTTATTATTATTGATTATTATTATTTATTATTATATTATTATTATTATTATTAGTGGTGTTATTATTAATGATTATTATTATTGTGAGATTATTATTATTATTATTATTGGATTTATTATTATTATTATTGAATTATTATTATTATTATTTTGTTATTATTATTATTATTATATTATTATTATTGGTATTATTGTTGTGTGTTATTATTGTGTGGTGTGTGTGTGTGTGTGGTTATTGTGTGTGGTGTGTGTGGTGTGTGTGTGGTGTGTGTGGTGTGTGTGGTGTGTGTGTGTGTGTGGTTGTGTGTGTGTGTGTGGTTGTGTGTGGTGTGTGGTTGTGTGTGGTTGGTGTGTTTATTATTGTGGTTGTGTGTGTGTGTGGTGTGTGTGTGTGTGGTGTGTGTGTGTGGTGTGTGTTTGGTTATTGTGTGGTGTGTGTGGTGTGTGTGTGTGTGTGGTGTGTGTGTGGGGTGTGTTATTGTGGTTATTGTTGTTGTAGTTATTGAATGGTTGTTTGTAATGGAGTTATTATTGGTTATTATTATTATTATTGATTATTATTATTATTATTATTATTATTGTGAGTTATTGATGATTATTTATTATTAGTTATTATTGTGTGATTATTATTATTGGGAGTTATTATTATTAGTTATTGTGTATTAGTTATTATTGTTAGTTATTATTAGTTATTATTATTGTTGTGATTATTATTATTGAAGTTATTATTATTATTATGTAGTGGTTATGTTAGTATTATTATTAGTTGATATTATTTATTAGTTATTATTATTGATATTGATTATTATGTTTTGATTATTTATTATTATTATGATGTGTATTATTATTATTAATGATTATTATTATTATTGAATTTTATTATTGTAGTTATTATTATTATTATTGATTATTATTATTGATTATTATTATTATTAGTTATTATTATTATTATTAGTTATTGTGTTATTATTGTGGTGTGTGTTGTGTGTGTGTGTAGATTGTGTGGTATTATTGTAGTTATTATTATTGTTATTGATTATTATTAGTTATTATTGTTATTGTGTTGTGGTGTGTGTGTGTGGTGTGTGTGTGGTGTGTGTGTGTGTGTGTGTGTGTGTGGTATGTGTGTGTGGTGTGTGTGTGTGGTGTGTGTGTGTGTGTGGTGTGTGTGTGTGGTGTGTGTGGTGTGTGTGTGTGTGGTGTGTGTGGTGTGTGTTGTGTGTGGTGTGTGTGTGTGTGGTGTGTGTGTGTGTGTGGTGTGTGTGTGTGGTGTGTGTTTGATTATTATTGGTTGTTGTGTTTGTGTTATTGTTGTTATTGTGGTTATTATTATTGTGTGGTGTTATTAGTTAATGTGGTATTATTATTATTATTGTTGTGTGTGTTGTTGTTATTTTTGTGTGGTGTGGTGTGTGTGGTGTGTGTGTGTGTGTGGGTGTGTGGTGTGTGTGGTGTGTGTGGTGTGTGTGTGTGTTGTTTTGGTTAGTGTTGTATTATTATTGAGTTATTATTATTATTGATTGTGTGGTGTGGTTATTGTTATTATTGTAGTTATTTTATTATTATTATTATTATTATTATTATTATTATTATTAGTTATTATTATTATTATTAGTTATTATTATTATTGGAGTTATTATTATTGATTATTATTTATATTATTATTATTATTAATTTTTTATTATTATTATTATTATTATTATTATTTATTATTATTATTATTATTTATTATTATTATTATTTTTATTATTGTTATTATTATTATTATTATTATTATTAGTTATTATTATTATTATTGTGTATTTATTAGGTGTATTGTTTGGTGTATTATTAGTTATTATTATTATTATTATTATTTTATTATTATTATTATTATTATTATTATTATTATTATTATTATTAAGTATTATTGTGTATTATTATTATTATGTGTGTGGTGTGGTGTGTGTGTGTGTGTGGTGTGTGTGGTGTGTGTGTGTGGTGTGTGTGTGTGTGGGTGTGTGTGTGGTGTGTGGTGTGTGGTGTGTGTGTGTGGTGTGTGTGTTGTGGTGTGTGTGTGTGTGTGTGTGTGGTGTGTGCAGAAACAATATAGGTAGTGTATTATCTGCCGCGGCGCCTGCGTGTCGCCTCCTGCCCGTGATGAGTTTCTTATTCCACCATATTTCCTATTTCACAAACGGCGACACAGATAATAAAATGAACCATAAAATCCCCAGAAGAGAGACACAAGGTGAGCGTCGGCCGGCAGTAAAAGAGACCAACTCTTGATGTTCAGGTGATACTTGGTGGGTGGAGTGGAGGGAGGACTGACGCGGTAACCCTCCGTATTTGAGGGACTCCGAGTCCACGTGCTAGCCAGCTCAGTCACCCCTCAGCGTTGGCGGAGCTATGTTACCTCTCTCCCTCTCCCTCACTCACGCCTACTGCTCGCTACCTCCACGCAACGTTGCGGTGCGCCTGTGTGTTCACGCTATTGTCAACATCTATTTTTAGGATGTCAGTGATTATTGTACAGAACTGATACTGAACCATCACTCTGATAACCTTATATTGAACTTTGATAATCGATTCCTGAAGAGTTAATCAATTATTGAGTGAAACGAGGAGCATTAACACCCTCAGTGAATTATGGAGTGAAGTTCCTTAACATCGATAAGATGAGATGACAGAATGGATGTTGTTACGCTTACTTAAACCTAGAGTGAGAGTGTACAGTGAACACTAAAGGATGGGTCACTCGTTCACCCCTTCCCTCCTCACCTCTCCTGACCCACACGAGAAATAATGTAACACAGATATGGAGATCAACACAGGAACCCAAAAGTTTGTCCGTTTGGTCCTGTTGCCCGTGATGTTCCTCGCCACCATAACAGGTAAGACACACACACAACTTTCCTCGTTGTCTACTAATAAGGACGGAATAATGATAACACCTTAACATATTGTTTTAGATGATGGTGCAAGATGATTTATGATCCAGACTCGTAATTGTGGCCATAATTCAATGTGTGTGTGTGTGTGTGTGTGTGTGTGTGTGTGTGTGTGTGTGTGTGTGTGTGTGTGTGTGTGTGTATTGGGGTATAGGAACAGGCTGTGATGATGATGATCCGTATTAAAAGTTTGATCCTTACACACATACACACACAACAAAATCACCTACAAACACAAGCACACCACACACTACATACTGTAGCTACGTCACCACCCCCACATACACACACATTCTTCATACCTGCGTGTCCTGTTTGCATTATGTAAGTGAAAAATATAATTAAAAAGCCTATTAACACTGGATAAAAGTCTTTCACTTGTAAAAAAAAGTTTGTTAGCTGTAAAATATTTTGTAAAGCCTATAGTGACATACCAAAGTTTGTAAACTCTGTAATCTTTGGTAGACTGTAATGAAAACGTCTGTAAATTCTGTAAAAAAAATCCTATAAACTTTGAAGAAAAGCCCTTACTGTAAGTCCTGTAAATGTGTGTAAACTCTGTAATCGTCTGGAAACTTCAAATATCCCGCAAACTATGTAAATTAACATCACTAAACTTTTACAGCATCTCGTAAATCGAAACTAAATCTGTAAACAGTAAAATAATGCATATGTAAAAAAAATTATCCATAAACTTCAAAAATCGTCTGTAAACTGAAAATCGTCTGTAATCCGGATAAAAACTATAGTAAACAGGAATCAATCAATAACCCTGAAAGAAAGTTTGTAAAATATCCCATAATTCCTCAAAACCTCATTAAATCGTCAAAAATCACCCGTATACCACAAACAACGTACGTAAATAACAGAAATAAGTACGTAAATAAAAAAATGCGTAAATAACAGAAAAAAGTACGTAAATAACAAAAAAGCACAAAAACAACAAAAAGTACGTAAATAACAAGGGCATAAATAACAAAACACGAATGTAAACGGGAAACACAAAACGTAGGTAAATAATGAAAACAAGTTAAAACATAAAAAAGTCCATTAATAACAAACAATAACAAAAAAACGAGCGTAATTAACACAAATAATAACAAGCACTAAAATAAATAACAAAAGAGCTTACATAAATAACAAAAATACCGCACCTAATCACAATACCGCCTAAACCACCAATACCGCACCTAAACCACAAAACTGCACCCTAAACCACAAAAAACGCACCTAAACCAAAACAAAACGCACTTAAACCACTTAAAACCGCACTTAAACCACAAAAAACGCATCTAAACCTAAAACACACCTAAACCAAAATAACGCACCTAAACCACAAAAAACGCACCTAAACCAAAACAAAACGCACTTAAACCACTTAAAACCGCACTTAAACCACATAAAACCGCACCTAAACCACAAAAAACATACAAATTCTATAAATTCCTTGAAAAACGTCAGAATAAGATGCATACAACAGAGAAACAAGTTGGTCTCACAATGCTAGATATGATCAAGGGGCAGACATATAAACTGTATATATAATTACTTGACGGTATTCTAACACATGATGGACGTCTCTGCCTTAATTGACGTCCAGATTAATTGTTTTTCTCATCTAAACAACATCAAATAAACCTTTTAGTGTGTGTGTGTGTGTGTGTGTGTGTGTGTGTGTGTGTGTGTGTGTGTGTGTGTGTGTGTGTGTGTGTGTGTGTGTGTGTGTGTGTGTGTGTGTGTGTGTGTGTAGTTAGGCCAGTAAAGTGACATACTGCAGTAGCATCATAAAATCGACCTTTCACCACCCTCTATATTACGTTTGTAGACTAGTGTAAACTTTGTAAAAAAAACACAACAAACTACACCAGCGTTTGTAAACTTTGTAAAAAAATATCCTTAAATTGTGAAGAAAAAAACGTTTGTGAACTAAAAAACAAAAAGCCTGTAAACTCCATGAACAGCCTGTGAGGTTAATAGCACAGCCAGTAATCACTGTAAAACGTATGGAAAATATAGGAAACTCTTAAACAAAAGTAAATGTTTTTCAACTTTGTAAAAAAACTGTAAAATATGAAGAAAAAATGTGTAAAAAAACGTTTGTAAATTCTGTAAAAAGCGTCTGTAATGTCTGTAAACAAAATTAGTAGATTATTAAGATATTAGTAAACTGTAAAACGTCTACAAACTTTGTAAAAATGTCTGTAAACTCTGTGAAAACGTCTATATATCATAAAATAACATTAATGATAAAAATTCTCAAAACTATAAAAGAAAGTCTGTAAATTGTTAAAAAACGTTAATAATTGAGATTTTTTGTAGACAGTAAAAAACGTAAATGAGAAAAAAAAATCAAGAAACTGTAAAAATAAACGTTTATAAAATCTGTAAAAAAATATCCGAAAACTTCAATAACATCTGTAAACTGACGTCCATATTCCCTCTTAACTAGCATTTCATCTTCATCTCTTTATCATCTTCTCACCATATTCCTTTTCTTGTTCCTCTTCTCTCTATTTAATACCATCTACTCTTCCTCTTCTCTTCTTCCTTTCCTCTCTCTGTATAACACCTTCTCCTCTTGTTCCTTGTCTCTCTCTATAGCTCTTCCCTTACTCTCTTTATTCCACCTATTCTTCGTCCTTCTCCCACTCTTCCTCCCTCTCTATAACACCACCCCTTTCTTCCTCTTCCTCCTTTCTATTTATAATTCCTTCTCTTCCTCTGCCTTTTCCTCATTCTCTTCCTTCATTATATATCTGACTGATTTTCTAACTTTCTTGCTGACTTTCTAATTGACTTTCTAACTGCTTTCTAACTTTCGTATTGACTTTTTAACTGCTGTCTAACTTTCTTATTGACTTTCCAACTGATCTCTAACTTTCTTATTTACTTGCTACCTGACTTTCTTATTGAGGTTCTACCTGACTTTCTTACTTACTTCCTGACTTTCTACCTAACTTTCTCATTGACTTTCTAACTGCTTTCTTATTGACTTTCTATATAACTTTCTTAGTGACTTTCTACATGACTTTCTACCTAACTTTCTTATTGACTTTCTACATGACTTTCTACCTAACTTTCTTATTGACTTTCTAACTTTCTTATTGACTTTCTACCTGACTTTCTTATTGAATTTCTACCTAACTTTCTTATTGACTTTCTTATTGGCTTTCTTACTTTCTAACTGACTTTCTAATCCATTCGAAAGGTCTCACGGGTCATGGCACCTCAACACCCAGCGGAGGAACGTAGTGAAAAAATCCCCCCCCCCCTTTTTTTAAGTGGATCCCTGAAGACCTAGACTAGTCGAGCGTTTGTTGGAGTGTTGGAGAGTGATGGGGAGTGATGGAGAGTGTTGGAGAGGGTTGAGAGTGTTAGGGAGTGATGGGAAGTGTTGGAGAGTGATGGGGATTGATGGAGAGTGTTGAGGGTGTTGGAGAGTGTTGGAGAGGGTTGGGAGTGTTAGGGAGTGATGGGAAGTGTTGGAGAGTGATGGGGAGTGATGGGGGTGTTGGAGAGTGTTGGAGAGTGTTAGGAATTGTTGGAGAGTGATGGGGAGTGTTGGGGAGTATTGGGGGGTGTGCTGGAGTGTTGGGGAGTGATAGAGGTGTTGGGCGATGCAGTGTTGGAGAGTGTTAGAGTGTTGAGGTGTTGGGAGTGTTGGAGAGTGTTGGAGGTGTTAGGGAGTGATGGAGTGTTAAGGTGTTGGATAATGTAGTGGTATTTAGAGAGTGTTCGAGGTGTTGGGGAGTGTTGGAGTGTGTTGGGGGTGATGGAGTGTTAGGGGTGTTGGACAATGTGAGTAGTGTTGGAGAGTGTTCGAGGTGGGGAGTGTTGGAGAGTGTCAGGGGGGGTGATGGAGTGTTAGGAGTGTGTAGGGACAATGTAGGTAGTGTTGGAAGTGTTCGAGGTGTTGAGGTGTTGGGGAGTGTTGGAGAGTGTTGGGAATGTTGGAGAGTGTTGGAAGTGTTCAAGGGGTGATAGAGTGTTAGGAGTGTTGGGAAGTGTTCGAGTGTTGGAGAGTGTTGGAAGTGTTAGGGAGTGTTGGAGAAGTGTTAGAGTGTTTAAGATGGTGGGGTGTTAGTGTTAGTGTTAGAGAGTTTGGGCGAGTGTTAGGGAGTGTTGGAGGTGTTGGAGAGTGTTGGGGAGTGTTGGAGAGTGTTGGAGGGTGTGGGAGAGTGTTAGGGAGCGTTCGAGAGTGTTGGGGAGTGCTGGAAAGTGTTGGGGGTGTTGGAGAGTGTTAGGAGTGTTAGTGTTGAGGAGTTTTGGCGAGTGTCAGGGAGTGCTGGAGGTGTTGGGGAGTGTTGGAGAGTGTTAGGGAGTGCTGGAGGGTGTTAGTTAGAGCTGGGGAGTGTTAGTGTAGAAAAGCGGAAAGGAATATTGAGAAGGATTGAGAAATATTGGAGAAATAGTTGAGAAAAGTTGAAGATCTTTAGAGTAATATTTACGTCTTTGTCACAGCGGCCTGTTGGTCTAGTGGTATGATTCTCGCTTAGGGTGCGAGAGGTCCCGGGTTCAACTCCCGGACAGGCCCGAAGCGTTTTGTTGTTTTTTTGTTTTTTTGTTTTTTTTTAAGGTGGGGGTGAGGTTTTTATTACCGCCGGGAGTTATGACCTGTGACCCTGTTTTGTTGTAGCTATGGGGGCATTTGGAGGTCCTACCTACCTACCTATAATAGCTACCCAGGTCCTTATGTGAAAGTGAGTTGGTGACAGGGCGGGTATCTAAGTATTAAACAACAATGATAATGATGATGATGATGATGATGATGATAACAACCAAGATGGTGATGATGATGACGAAGATGACGATGATGGTGATGATGACGAAGATGACGATGATGGTGATGATGACGAAGATGAATATGATGATGATAATGATAACGACGACGATGGTGATGACGACGAAGATGATAATGATAATAATAAAAACGATAACGACGA